ACTTTAAGGTATGTCTTTTTAAATGCACTTCTTGGTTTTTGTGTTTAGTTTAGTGCTGTATGCTTGTATCTTTTGAGGAAGTAAAAACATGAGTCTTATTCATGTCCAAATGAATTTATTGATCATTGAACATGATTGACATGTGAGAAAGTCTTGAAGAGGTTTTCATTCCTTTAGGATTGTGATTTCAGTTAATTATACAGTAGTATTTACATTAAAATTAGTTCAGCTGTTTACACAATAAAAATTCAACCCGTTCACTCATTTTAAGGTGTTTGAATGAACAGTGATCTCCACATTTTACATGAGTTGTAAACATTTTTCTATCAAAAACATTATGCTCTGTTGTTTGAACGGAGATGAAAAACTAAACCACAAGATGGCAGTAGTGCAACTAAAAGAATGTCAACTACCGTTAATATCCAAAGAAGAAGATTTAAATAAAGTGGGTGTGGTTTAACGTCATGACGTAATGTTGTCTTACGTAAATCCTGTACGGCGCTGCGTGAACCGTTCTCGGCGCAAAAATTCAAACTCCGAGCAGACAAGAATAGCCTCAGTTGCTTGTTTTTGTAATATCTCAAATTTTATTTGTACAGTTTAAGACGGACTTTGTCACAGTTTGGACAGTTTCATGGTAAGTTTAATAGGTCGAAAGGGTTTAATTCTGTATTTTATATGTTAGTGAGCGAGTTAGCGGACAATGAATGAGACGAGGGCGACGTTGTTATGCTAGCGTGGAGCGCTAACAGAGCTAACCAGTGACGAGCAGACAGCAGATTTGATCAGGTTTCTTTGAACCCGTTTAATTTTGCGTGGTAAATCAAATATTTTTCTATTATGTATATTCCCCAAGGATGATAATTAATTAAAAGTCAAAACGTACTTTTTATATTTGGCTTTATGCTAAATAAGCTAAGTTTCTGTAGTCAGAAGCAAATAATCTTTGTGTATAACTACGTGTTAGCCGGTCAGTTTAAAAACGTGATCTTCAGGGGGAATAGAGAGAGTGTTTATTCGGCAGATGAAACGCTTTTATTTTTCGAGCTGTTTGAATCATCTGGTCTCAGTGAACAAACTGGGGTCTGAAAACCCCTCACTCTCTCAGGTGACTGATTTTTTGTGCTTTTCAGCCAGTAATTTCAAATTTTCCGTTTAAAATTATATTACACATTTGCTTAATCAAATCTAGAAAAAGTTAAGTTTATTCTTAAATCTATTCTTTATTCATATAATCATATTATCTGACAAGATGTGCAGCTAAAGTACTGTAAAACCAGTACACAGCCTTTGTGCTGTATTATCTATCTAAAAGTGTCATTATAGATGTAGAGCATTTCACAAACTTAAAGCTCTTAAAGGGTCTTTTTCTCTCTCTATCAGCTAAAAATGAGTGCAGCCTCTACCCCAGTGTCCCGGGTCCATCCGGGATGGACGTCATCTTTGAAGAGCAAGGGTTCATCCCCTGCGGCCTGCAGCACCCCGCTGCTGGCAGCCTTCCCTGGCAACGACGATGAGCAGGAGCGTCGTCAGCGCAGGAGGTCCAGAGTCATTGACCTTCAGTCTGCCAACGATTCTTCATTTATTGATTCTGCTTCTCACAGGTAAGTTGTTGACCTCATGGCAAAACATACAGCATCACCACTCTTGCAGGTTGTTCTTTCAAATGTTTCATTTTGTATTAGAAAAATCTAGTGCTGTACCAAACGATTATTTTCTAATCGATTAATCTAACGATTATTTTTTCGATTAATCGATTATTCTAACAACAAATCTATAATTTATTCTGATGTGAGTGCACTGGATATTTAAAATGTTTTCATCAAATTAACAAGAACAGCTCTTTAATATTGTAATATTTTCTGTATTAGTTTTTTCAAGGACACAAAATCTGCACTCTAGAGTCAATTCTTTAACAAAAAAAAGCTTAAAAGATTTAACATCAACATAAAATCTCAACCAAAACATATAAAATTCAAGTAAAAGAAATATAGTGCAAGATGTTAACAATCTAACAAATGAACTAAATCATGC